GAGGCGGAGGTTGCGGTGAGTCGAGATCGCGCCATTGCACTCCAGGCTGGATAACAAGAGCGAAACTCCATCTCAGAAAAAAAAAAAATATTCTTTTGGGAATTCTAAGATGCATTTTAATCTCTGCCATCTCTTTTCTTCAACTCTCTGTAAACACTCATTGCCATCACACTAGTGTCATATTCCCAACCCAGGGCACAGAGAGTGGAGGTACAAGAAAATTACCCCACTGACCACTGTACAAAAGAAGCTAGGGGGAGTGGAAAAGTGGAGAGAAGATGGGTAACGAAAGGCATCTGAGAAAGTACTCACTCAGAAAATGCCCAGGGAACTTGTGTTCCCACATCACTATCTTTAATTTGCAGCCAAGCAATCCTCAGTTACTCTATCATGTGAGCTTGCCATGTTTGAAAATGAAGCTGTAAATGAACAAAAGCATCACAGGCTGGTGTTAGACATAGCACTAATTTTTGTATTTTTAGTAGAGATGGAGTTTCATCAGGTTGGTCAGGATGGTCTTGATCTCCTGATCTTGTGATCTGCCCACCTCAGCTTCCCAAAGTGCTGGGATTACATGTATGAGCCACTGCACCTGGCCGAATATGTTCTTTTTACTAAACATGAAAGCATACTCATTTCCCACTGACAATAGCTTTTTAATAAGTGTGAAGAAAAACATGTCTAAACTTTCAATATAAAACTAGTGTCAAAATAAGGTTAACAGATTACAATTGTAGAATTTGTTCTTTTATACCTCCATTGTTAAAAATTCCAATTATGAGAGGACTTCAAAAAGTTTAAAATTAAAAGATAAAAATTCAAATATAAACTTTATTTTTCAACATAAGCTCCATAAAGATCAAGATACTTTGGTAAGTGATGATACCAGCCATTTAGAAAAGAACTCGGGGTCCTGGGAGTTTAATGATGTCAATTTAGTCTTTTTGACATTATTAACAGAAGAAAAATGGGTGCCCTTTGTAGATTTTTAAGATTAGGAAACAAACAAAAAAAGAGTTAGAAGGAGCCAAATCCAGACTCTGATGTGGATACCTAGTGAATTCACATTAAAACTCTCACAAAACTGCCCTTGTTGGATGAGAGGAATGAGCAACAGCATTGTCATGTTGAAGAAGGACTCTCTGGTGAAGCTTTCCTGGGCATTTTTCTGCCAAAGCTGTGCCTAATGATGTGCTAAAGATGTTGTAATTCTTTGGCCGTCCAGAAAGTCAGCTAGCAAGTGCCTTAAGTTTCTCCAAAAACCTGTTGCCAGGACTTTTGCTCTTGACTGGTCCACTTTTGCTTTGACTGGACCGCTCCCACCACTTTGTAGCCATTGCTTTGATTGTGCTTTTACTTCAACATTGTACTGGTAAAGCCATGTTCATCTCCCATTACAGTTCTTCAAAGAAATGTGTTGGGATCTTGATCCCATTTGTTTGAATTTCCATTGAACAATTTGCTGCAGCTGATCTGGGTGCAATGGTTTCGACACCCAAGTGGAAGTTTTTCCAACTTTTTCAGTCAGAATTTTGCAAGCTGAACCAATTGGGATATCTATGGCGTTGGCTATTGTTTCTTCTGTGACTTATTGGTCCTCTTCAATTACAGTGCAAATAAATTTTTTCCTTGTAAATTGATGTAGATGGCCTGTCACTGTGGCCTTCGTCTTCAACATTGTCTCGTCCCTTATTAGAACTAGTTATTCATTTATAAACTGCTGACTTCTTTTTTTCTTTTTCTTTTTTTTTTTTTTTTT